CGGATCGTGCCGCAGTCTAGCTGGCCCTTAGGTGCTTTCATCCGTTTTCTAGCGCGCGTATTGAGGTTGGTGGGGGAGGAGGGATGGATCAGGAGGCCGAGTGTATTCGGCATTTCGCGCGTCCATGGGACGGTCACCGGAAGGGTTAAGCAATTAAAATAGAGACAGTCTGGGAGTCTGGGAGCCTTTTCTCAAAGGTGCCCCTATCTCGCAGATGGTTGTAAAGGTGTATATAGGAAACGGAAGCGTCGGAGAGATAATAATATCTACCAAGAGGACTAAATAAAGCGTAAACAATTAAATAAATCTAATTATGATATTTTCTAGATTCCCTGTTTACTATAAATAAAATACACTAAAATTACTAGCTTTTCTACACAACTCATATATCACGAGGTTAGTCGTCTATAGCACTACTGCACCGAACCAAGTCCCTAGTGCTGCTAAGCCTTGGTACTGCAGCACCGAACTAAAGGCCTGGTGCTGCCGTAGCACTGGTGCTGCGTGACTTGTCAAGGCCTAGTCTCTAGGGCATTGAAGTGTGGGCTTTTCTCCTCACTCTCCTTGTCACCACTCGGTTCATTGCCGTCGTGCTCTGAAGTAGCCCGGACAAAAGTCATGGTAATATGCAACGAGAAGCGGAAATCACGGGTTGAAAAATGAACAAAAAAGAGGAAACTCAGCAACATGATAACATGAAAATCCGGGGACTAGATCAAATGATACAATGGCCGTCGCGCGACAGGCACCAGGGGATGCATGTTGATCCTATCCTACTTTTTCTCCGGTATTTACAGAACTAATCGTTGCGATCGCCGTCGCAAGACAATGCTCCTGTGTTGTCGTCTCTTGGTTTCTATACTCTTGATTGGCTGGACTATAATCACACACCAGTCCCGAGACAGCTAGCGTACACATGGGTACACTAATCCAACTAACATCCCGCATCAGTTTCGACATGTCTGCCAACGTCTGTCTTACATCTCTTCTGTCGAACATTTACCTTAACTGTTTATATTCCTGTATTTTTACATTTAGGTACAAAAATGATCACAAATCGCCCCGCTACTCTGGCCGATATCCCACAAGTTCGGGATATCAACCACTGGTACATTGTTAACAGCTGTTCCACTTTTGCGACTACCCCACCACCGATATCCCACTATGAGGACATCCTCCGGGATTTGATGAGAAGAAACCTTCCATTTTATGTCGTCGTGTCTGATACGCGGAAGACACCAGATGGAGCAGATTTAATTCTTGGTTACGCGTATTTGTCTCCTTTCCGTGGTCATTTACTGTCCTATGCACCGTCCGTTGAGGTGTCGATCTTCATGCGCTATGACCAGCAGCAATATGGCTATGGAACAATTATTCTTAGAAGGCTCTTGCGCCTGGTACAGGAGGGTGAAGTTGAACATCACTGTGAGGAAAGAGTGGGCGATATTCCACGGATTGGATTTGGTAGCTCTGTGGGTGTTATGAAGACTTCTCTTGTTCAGAATATCATTGCGATCATACCGTATGACACTGAGGCTCCCACTGATGGGGAGAGACTGCGGAAATGGTACATGAAATGGGGGTTTGTGGAGAAAGGGCAGTTGGAAAACGTTGGGAGAAAGATGGGTCATTGGTAAGTCGCTTAATATGGTAGAACTGATAGATTTGCCCGACTGACGGCTTCCTTTAGGATTGATACTGTCTATCTTCAATGGACAATGCCAGAGCCAACAGACAGTGTGTAACTTGGCGTCAGCCAAAAAAAAATCCCAGTTAGTGCAGAAACAAAATAGCCTGGAGAGAGATGAGAGTGCATATTCATATTCATTGCATACTCAAGCACTAGGCTAGTGAAACATCTCAGATAACACAAACGAATGACCCGCGAATGGCGGGGTTTCCCCATAACACCTCTATATCATTTAGATAAATTCCCTCTCCCTGCCTAGGTCGGGGTCAGTGACGCCGGGAAATTACGGAAGTGGGCTCCCCTATTCTCAACTTGTAAAGAATTTGTCAAGGATCTCGTTCTAGTTCCACGAAATAACCTCCAAGCATGACATGTTGGGCTGTCTTTGGCTTTGGTAACATTCAACCCTTTCCCTTCTTCCATAACTGAACACATTCTTCTCGCATACTCCAATCCACCTGTAAATGTATGGAAAGTATCGTGGAGTACTTAAAATCCTAGAAGTCATAGTAGATGTGGTTGTGGGTGGATTGCGGAACTTGTAGCTGATGATAGCCAAGAGGTTGTGGTTTCCAAGGACGAGATGAAAACAGGCTTTCCGGAATTTGAGGTCACAACTTGAGGAGAAATTCATGAGATTTGTAAGACTGATGATTTATGGAATGGTGTTGTGTCATTGGCTTGAGTTTGGATTGAGATAGAAAGTTCTGTCGAGATGTGTGGTGCCACCCTGAGACATGAACAAATGCCTCAATGGCGTCATGCCGAGACAGATAAACTATATGTGATGTTTAGTCAGCATTGTCCGCACAGATTGCTTAAAAGGCGCGGACCTTGTCATTATTTAGAAGAAATTCAGAGTATTTTTTCATACCATTTCAAGTGTTCTACAATCTCTTTCAAGTTCCATTATGTTGATCGGTAGAACTGAAGATATGTGTTGGAA